AACCCCTAGGGACCTAGTTTGTTAGTCACAGCTTGGAAACAGTTGAGAGCCCCACCCTATAACGGTATATACAATTGCTGAGTATAAAGAGATGATTGCACATATGCTTCCAGGATGGCCTTGGGGACTGCCCCACCCTTGGAGACTTAACCCCTGGGTCATAACTTCGAAATGGTTTAGATCCCCACCCCAAAACTATATATACAATTGTTGGGCATAAAAAGACGAATGCAGTCATGATATTAGAATTGACCCCAGGGTCTGCCCCACCCTTGCAGACTTAACCCCTGGGTCATAACTTTGAAATGGTTGAGATCCCCACCCCAAAACTATATATACAAATGCTGGGCAAAAAGAGACAAATGCAGTCACGATATTAGAATTGATCCTGGGGTCTGGCCACAACCCTAGGGACCTAGTTTCTGAGTCACAGCTTGGAAACAGTTGAGATCCCCACCCCATAACCATACATAAAATTGCTGGGCATGAAGAATCTAATACATGTACAGATATGCTACAAGGATTGGCCTTGGGGTCTGGCATATTCCCTTGATCTCATTCGGAGAATATTTTGCCATGATTGCTTTGGTATCCAGGTGAGCGATACAGGCCCTCTGTTATATATATATACTTTATGTTTATGCCTATTATCATTGTTGACATTTAATTGTAAATGTATGACGGGAGAAGGCTGTGATAAATTGTAAAAATGTGTGCCCCATCCCTTGTTCAATTTTATTGGCAACAAATATGTTTAAAGCTAAATAAATTTAAATTCTGAATATTGGCAAGTGTGCAATTAACTTCTGATGATGACTAACTACTGTTCAGTAAGTTTTAATACGGACTTAGAAATCATATCACTTGGTTTCATAGTGCGGTAAGAAGTTGCAGTTACCTGAAGCCCCTCTCTGGGGGCCCCTTTGGAAACCGTTTCCTGCCTAGTCAGGTGACGTTATCGGCACTATTTTTAGCTGGGCTTTCCCAAAAAAAAATTAAGTGGTCAAACTGGACATTTGAAACGGACTATGAATATGGGGATAGCGAGGTAACACATTCATTAAAAAAAATATGGCTCTTTCACGTGATGTCCCTTTAACCCATGTAATATGAACGATGGGCCCAGTGATTGGTTGTAAGTTTCAAATGTATTTACATTTCCAGGTTGCATGAAAATTGTCGTTTTACCCGAATAAATGCCACAAATTATGAGCATCTGATAAAAAGGATCTTACACTCGTTTTCATTTCATATGAAATGAAACTCGTCACAAATTTTTCATTTTAGCCTGCCAGAGGCTTGTTTCATAAATCTCATATGAAATGGAAACTCATGTAGGATCCTATATATAGTGATCAGTATGTTTTCGTCCTCCCGATCGAGATAGGTGTGTAGTTCATGTTCATCCGTTTGTCTGTCCTTCCGTTTCCAAATAAGATGTTAATGTCCTATTGGCAACACCCCAAACTTCATGCAGCACTTCTTTATTGTAAAACCTTGCTTGTGTTGATTTTCAGGTCTGAATGTTGAAGATCGAGGTTGTTACTATGTATAGAGCATATTAGTTTACACCAAAGAGTACCTTGGTATCAGAAATTAGATAATATCATTGATCGAAACTTCCAAACTGATCTAAGGGATAAGTGTTGCTGATCTAAGGATTAGTGTGGATGATCTGAGGGATTAGTGTTGTGATCTGAGGGGATCTGAGGGATTAGTGTTGTTGATCTGAAGGATTAGTGTTGATGATCTGAGAGATAAGAATTGATGGTTTGAGGGATTAGTGTTGTTGATCTGAGGGATAAGAATTGTTGATCTGATGATTAGTGTTGATGATCTGCGGGATTAGTGTTGCTGATCTGAGGGATTAGTGTTGCTGATATGAGCGATTATATAGTGTTGCTGATCTGTTGGATAAGTGTCGTTGATCTGAGGGGTTAGTATTGCTGATGTGGGCGATTATTGTTGCTAAGCGACACATTTGTTTCACTCGGACTGAATATAAAATGATGAAATACC